TCTGAGGAGACAGCAGATGTAGCAGGAAAAGAGGTCTCCAGAGTGTGTTAATGCTGGGGAGTAGGACAGGCAGACCTGGTCCAGTCAGCCCATTGCAGAGTCAGGACAGGATGGGTGGGCCCTTCACAGACTGGGAAGCGGGGTGGAGCACATAGTCATGGGCAGACACTTGTTCAGATACCCTTAGTATTGCTGTGACCACAGAAAACATGGAAAGTCTCCTATAAAAGTGAACTGCCTTGTTGAGTACCCATGGCTCATTAGGAGAGGGGTCCACCCAGAGGCATCTGCCATTGTGGGGGGAGACTGTGGCCTGTGAAGATCCCAGAAAAGCCTTTGATTCCCCAAAAGATGGTGTCCTCTTGAAGTTGGAGTTGGTTACGGTCATGGGTGGGTAAGACTTCCCAGGCATGGTTTAGGTGGTAAAACAAGATTATGTGGGTGAACATCTATTAATTAGACGTTATCTATTTTAAGGTGACTGGAAACTGTTTCTTTGTATATTGTATGATGTGAAATTTGCTTTAAAATTCATGTATGAATCTTTTGAAAGAAAAATATGTCACAAACAAAGCTGATGCTCCAAGGAGAAGGAGATGGGTCCACTGGTATGGGGCATAGTGTGTTTCTAGCCCACTGCCGTCACACGGGAGACCTGGCCTTCTTTGGGCTGTGTCTCTTTACCTCTCAAGGTGATAGCTGTGCTTCTGGAATAGGGAAGCATGGGGAGTGTTGAGTATAGTGCTCAGAGCAGGCCTAGCATGTAGATAGTACTGGCGTGCCCCCTGCCCCGGTGTAGCATCTGTCAGTCCTTCATTCCTTGTTTTGGCTGAATGCTATTCCACTGTATGTTTACCCCACAACTTTATTCTTCCATTCCTCTGTTGATGGACATTTTGGTTGTTTCCACCTTTGGATATTTTGAATATGAACTTTTGTGTTTTTTAGTATGAACATTCTTTTAACACATTAACATTTCTTTTCATTAATTTTTTGAGAGAGAGTGAGTGTGAATGGGGAGGAGGGGCAGAGGGAGAGAGGGAATCTTAAACAGGCTCCATGCCCAGCACAGAGCCCAATGTGGGGCTCGATTCCATGACCTTGGGATCTTGGCCTGAGTCTAAATGAAGAGTCAGACACTCAACTGATTAAGCCACCCAAGTGCCCCAAGTATGAACATTTTTGTATATGTACTTGTTTTGAGTACCTGTTTTCAATTATTTGTTGTATATACCTGGACTATTGATTAAAGCTTTGCCAAGATCCCTTTAGCTGTCGTGGGGCAAAAAGAACATGGAGGAGAGGAGGTGGTGGGAGGGAAGCCAATTCAGTTAAGGGACTAGTGCCATGATATGGGGAACAAGATGGCAGCAGTGGGAGAGTGAGGAATGACCATATTGTGGACCCCAGATGAAGATTATGGGGTCCCCTCTGTTTCAGCTCTGAGCACCTAGAGGGATAGAGTTACCACTGAGTGAGATGGGAAGTGGCTGGAGGGTTAGGCAGCATTAAGCCAATAAAGTCTAAGTTGTCTAGAGACTTCTGGGTGGGACTGGAGGGGCAGTTAGACTGGAGAATCAGGAACTGGTTAATGTGATTGTGGTATAAGGGCTGGCAAAAGTGGAGAGGAGGGAAGAGCATGTCCCCAAGGCAGGGAGCCCAAAGTTGTGAGGGATGAAGAGCAGTCTTGTGGGTGGAGATGGAACTCCCTGGGAACGTGTGTCCACTCTTCTAGTGCCTCTAGGTTTGGGCCTGGGTCCCTCTCAACTCTGGGCACTATGGAATCCTGCCTGTTCTGCTCCATCCCCTGAATCTGCTCAAAGCAAGAATGGAGAGGAGATGACCTAGGTCTGGGTGGACAGATGTGCCCCAGTCTCAGGGACTTGTGACCTATGAGGACATGGTCATGGCCTTCACCAGGAAGGAGTGGAGAAAGCTGGAGCTTGCGCAGAGGACCCTGTGCTGGGAGATGAAGCTGGAGAGGCTTTAGAACCCTGCACTGCTGGGTGAGGCCAAGCCTTGTCCCTCCCTTACATTCATGTGTGAGATTGAACAATGTTGCGTGTAGCAGTCACTTGTTTTTGGACGTTGCTGTGTGCATAGTATTTCACTGCATGGATATCCAGTGTAATTATTCACACTTCTATTGGTGGGCATATCAGTGAGTGTCCAGTCAGGAAGTAGAAGCCATATAGTAATCTGAACAGGATAAATTTGATTTAAAAAGTTATTAATTAGGGGCATCTGGGTGGCTCAGTCAGTGAGGCATCCAACTCTTGATTTTGCTTCAGGTCATATCTCCTGGTTTGTGGGTTCAAGCCCTGTGTCGGGCTTTGCATTGGCAATGCAGAGCCTGCTTGGGATTCTCTCTCCCTCTCCCTTGGCCCCTACACCCCCAAATAAGTCAGTAAACTTAAAAACAAAGTTATTAACTCTAACAGGGATAACTCTAAAAATCCTAGGGCCTAGAGAGAGAGAGCCCAAGGTAAGAAATACACTTCCAAGGTGAGGTTCAGACTTTTGTTGGGGAAGGTGTGTTTGGAGCACACTGGGTAGCAGAGGAATTCTCTGGGTTGCCCAAGCCAAGCAGCAAACACCGCCTTGGTGTGGCAGTGGGCCAAAGCTACAAGCAGGCATGCAGAGGGAGTCAAGGTCCCACTACAGGTATGAGGCCTACAGCATGATGTATCTGTTGGGAGAGGCATTGGGAACCTCCTAGCTAGCAGGGCATCTTGGGATGCATGGTATCCACATCAGGAGGGCCGTGGTGAGGTGGTTACTAGGTCAGCCCGAGGCTTTGAGCCTGCCAGAAGAATGCCTGCTTTGGGCAGAGTCTTCCACATGTACTGCGGCTGATGTGCAGCTGCAGGAAGAGAAACAGGAAGACACCTTCTTGTGGCTTTCCTCTAGTGCCCTCTGTTGACAAAGCTTAACAATGTGCTGCCTGCAAAGGAGAAAAGCCCACAACCGCTGAGCAGGTAAGAATATGGAGCTGAGAGGCAATAAATTGATAACTGCAGTGCGCTTGGGGCTGTTTTCTGATCTTTCACTTTTTATAGATAGTTGCTCTAAACGTTTTCGTACATGTGTTTTGGTGCTCATAAGCATTGATTTCTGTTGGGTGCATACCCAGGAGTGGAATTGCTGAGTCAGAGAATACATATATTTAGCTGTAGTAGACACTGCCAAAGTTTTCCAAAATCATTATTTGCTTCATTTCTTATTCCTAATAATTTTATTGAAAAACACTATCACCATTTCTTTCCACACTCCATTCATCACTGGATACAGGCACATTTTATATTTTTGGCTATCTGACAGTACTAATCCCATTAACAATACATCATTGTATTAGTTTTCTATGCTGTTTAACAAATTGCCACAAACTTGGTGGCTTAAAACAACATCCATTCATTAGCTCACAGTTCTGTACGTCAGAAGTCTGGGAGATATTGACTGGGTTCTCTGCTCAGAGGATCACAAAGCTGAAATTAAGATGTTGCTTGGGCTAGGCTTTTGTCTGGAGGACCTGGGAATTATTTGCTTCCGAACTCACTGAGATAGTTGACAGACTGGAGTTCCTTGTGGTTGTAGGACGGAGGTCTCTTTGTTTGCTGGCTGTTTAGCGAGGGGTTGTTCTTACCTTCTAGGGGCCACAATGTGGCTCCCCCTATCTTCAAAGCCAGAAATGGCACATCAAATCTTTCTCACGCTTCAACTCTTTTGGACTTTCTTTTCTGCCACCAGCCAGAGAAAACTCAATGCTTTAAAATGGTTCATGTGATTAGGCCACACCCACTGGGATCATTTCCATATTTTAAGGTCAGTTCGGAATTTCCTCACCAATACCTGTTATTGTCAGGGTTCTTATTTGCTACTGTGAAGACTGAGAAATCCGTCATATTATTTAAAAATTGTCTCTTAATTATTCATGTTGGCCATGGTATGAATACCAAGCATAATGCCAGGAGCAGGTTATATGCACACGGCAGGCCAGGCCCTGCCTTCACAACACTGGTATTTCCCTGATTACTTCTGAGCATGTAGGTCTTTTCTGGTTGGTTGGCCCCATCGTTTCTTCTGATGTGAATTACTGATTCACAGACTTTATCCACTTTTCTAGTAGGTTTGTAGTCATTTTCTTATTGATTTTCAGTTAAAACATATTTTTTGTTGGAGAACCTCTTGGCGTTTTGGCCCGGGAGGGGAGGACTTGGAATTGGGGCAAGGAGTCCAGTGTTAAGGGAAAAACAAAAGAAAACAAAAATCCTATGCTCCCTAAAATTCAACAATCCCACTTTAGGAGATTTACTCTAAGGAAATAAACAGAGTTGGGGTGCCTGGCTGTCTCAGTTGCTAGAGTGCACAACTCTTAACCTCAGGGTCAAGCCCCACATTGGGCGTACTTAAAAAAATAAAAAAACAAAGAAAAAGAAAAAACCAGAGTTGCATCCAAAGTATATGTTCAGGAGTGTGATTCACAGTACTGGATACCATTAGGGAGAAAATGAAATATCTGGGCTTGGTAGAAATGATAGTGTGGGACAGAAAACGGAATTTTCACCCAGGCGTTAACAAACGTGTTTTTAGTGACAGGGAAATGAGCGCGTGAGAGGAGCATGATATACACAGGAGCTCCACAAGAAGCTTTATCAAACAAACGCCCTTGGGGTGCCCAGGTGACTCAGTCACTTGAGCGTCAGACTTGACTTCAGCTCAGGTCATGATCTCACAGTTTGTGAGTTCGAGCCCCAAATCAGTGGACAGTGCAGAGCCTGCTTGGGGTCTTCTCTCTCTCTGCTCCTCCCCTGCTCACTTGCTCTCTCTCTCTCAAAATAAATAAACATTAAAAAAACAAAAACGTCCCTGCGAACACCTGGAATAAGCACCACTATGAGACTGTGGGTTAGGGGTCATTTTCATCATCTTTGCCCTCTTATGTATTTCAAAATTTTCTAAATGAACACCACTTACTTTGAAATCACATGGCCTATGTGACATCTGTTTGTGGAACCTTTACTCAGCGGCCACCCTCCGTGTCTATCCATATCTGCAAGGGAGGTCCCCTTAGTGTCCACTCAGGCTGGGACTTGAGGGCTCAAAGGACAAGGAGGCCAGGGAGTGACGTGGGTGGCCCGGGAACAAGGTGGGGCAGGAGGCCAGGACTGCTGGCCCTTCTCGTGGGTACAGCCTGCTCTGTGGCTCCAGCTGCCAGGCAGGAATGCCACTGCTGATGTTGTAGGCAGCAAGAAACCAGAGATAAGAATTCTTATATAGAAACTTCCCATTATAAAAATGGAATTTGTTACAAATCTAAACTGTAGAGAGCCGTGAGTTTTCTATCCACCTGCAAACAGAAGCAGGGCACGTTCCCCTCGGCTGTCTGTACTGTCTACACCAAGTCATCAGGCCCAGCAGCTTCAGAAGGGGTGGAAAGGGGCGGTTTTTGAGCAGCCACCTGGGGCCAACAAGGTCCAGGGGGAGGGAGAGTCTTTAACCTGTCCGCCTGCATCAGGTCACAGCTGGGGACCTCGGAGCTTGGAAGTCACTGGGCTTAGGCAGTTCATCACAGTCCAGGCCTCACCAGGCTATTGAGGGAGCAGCGGCTTCTTTTACTTACACCCAGGTGGCTGTTTGGGGGACACTGAAGCGGCGGCAGGGGACTCGCCTGGGAACTGACTCACAAATGTCCTCTGCTGTCTCCAAGTATCCCGCACGGAAGAGACCAAGCAGCCCAAGGAGGCTGGAACCAGATTGCTGGAACTGTGTCCAGGCCCTGGAGGCTCCACGGCTCCCAAGAAGAGGCTGCCTTCTGGAGCCGCTCAAGGGCCCTCTGGCCGGTGGCTCTTCCTGTGGATGACCAGCTGGGACTTCCAGTCGAAGCCGCGGCCGCAATCACCACAGAAGTGGCGCCGCTGGCCTGCGTGGCTCTTGCGGTGGATGACCAACTGAGACTTCCAGCTGAAGCAGCGCCCGCAATCCTCACATGCATAGCTTCGGGGGCCTAGGGGTGCACGCCGGGGGTGGCGTGGTGTGCCCGGGTCCCGGGAACCCGGTGGCAGCTTCTGCGCGCCCCCGAGAGCCAGCGCTGGGGCCCGCGCGGCCTGCCCATCTGCATGTGTCCGGTGGTGGATGACAAACACTGATTTCCAGTCAAAGCCTCGGCCGCACAGCTCACAGGTGTAAGGCTTCCTCCGTGGGGCGCCGGCCTCCAGCCCTGCTCCCGCCGCAGCCCTGGTGGACGTGGAGGCCCCAGATGGGCCCTCCCAGATGACAGGCCTGGGGACCTCGGGTGGCTGGGACTCTGGGCAGTGGGGCGGACCCTCACGGTGGCTTTCACTCTCATCTCCTAGGGAAGGAGAGGTGGCAGCCCCAGGTAGCCCAGCGTCCTTGACATTCCCCTCCCCTCCCACCAGGTGTGTGGGGGCAGACAAGCTCCCCCTCCACCAGACAACAGGTGGTTCAGATCGTGTGGAGCGGCACTCACCCGGGCGGAGGCTTCTTTGACCCTCTGTCCCTGAGTGCAGTGCCCCTGGCTCCGACTCAACCCGTGCCTCTGGTAGGGGGGCCGGTAACCCTGCTGGGGTGAGGGACAGTCAGGTAGCATTCCTTGCACAGGGGCCGGTAAGGGGCTCTCGGACATTAGGGGCAGGGGTGGGGGTCCTGAGAGATGACAGGGTGTCGCCAGGTAAGGAGGGCAAATGCGAGTGAGTAAGCGGTGGGAGGCGGGCACAGGAAAGGGCCGGGCAGGGAGCCCTACGGCCAGGGTGGTACGCAGGCACCGAAGGAGGGGTTGTGGCTGGTCCTCACCCAGGGAGACCACCGTGCCGTACTTCTCCAGCATCGCATCCCAGTACAGTTCCTTCTGGGACCGGTCCAGGAGCCCCCACTCCTCCTGCCAGGATGCAGCCCATCACCATTAGGGCCCATCCACCCCCCATCCTCTGCCTTGCTCTGCAGGGCCCTACCCTACCCCCGTCCCCTGGCCACAACCTTACTAGTTACCTGGGGAAGGGGCCAGGTTACCTAAGTCTCTTTTGTTTCCTAAGGATGAAGCTGAGAAGGGCGTATGAAGGTTGGGAAACAGGGCAGCGAGGAGCTGTCCTTCAGCTCCCCGGGGGGGTGCTACCAGCACGTGTCGCCCTCAGAAGCCCCACGCCACTCCTAGCTAGCTAGACTGGAGTTGAGGACCCCTGGATGGGTGTTGGGGGAAGCCTGGGTGGGGACAGGCGTGGCTGGCCTCACCCCCTTGCCTTGAACAGTGTGTGATGCACTGAGACCGAAAGGCCTGGGGACCCAAGAGGACCCAGCCACCTCTCACCAAGCTTCTGGTTACAAAAGTAACAGAGAGCCTCCCTAGGGGAGCTGTCGAGGGCTGCTATCACTCCTAGATGCGTGGACCTGGCTGTGGAGAGGTCAAGGGCAGGAGGATTCACATTAGGAGGTGCAGCCAAGCATCTCAGGGCTCAGACGATGTACATGGGACAGGTGGGCTGGCTCCTGCCTGTTGCCACAGGGTGAGCTCTAAGAGTTGAAGCAGGACCCTTGTGGGCTTTACCAGGTGATCCTTGCCTCCCCAAATCCCATCATCTGGGGCTTTGCTGGGGTGGGAAACATTCCTGAGAGACAAGCCACTGCAGGTCCAGAGACAAGGAGGTGGCAGCCACTGCTGGAGTGTGACTGGCTGGAAGTCAGGAGGCTCTGCAGGGTGTGGCCTTCCCACCCGGCTCTTTCCCATTGTGCCATCAGGCTGCGGAGGGCCTGGAGGAGCTTTTTAGCCTCCAAGCACATCTCAACCAGCTCTTCCACTGGGGACGCTCCCCAATGGAATGGCTGAGGAGCCAAGTTGCTGCGAGAGGACAGGACCCCTGCTGTCCACACTCAGCAACCAAGCACTCCAGGTGGTAGGAGCCTCAGTCGAGCTTCCATGCCCAGCTGGCCGCAGCCCGGGGCTGGTTGGTCTTTGAGGAAAGCCCCAGGGAAGAGGTGGCTGCGGGCTATTCTGATCTCAGAATATCCTAGGTATCTCCATTCTGATCTCAGGTGTGCAGGGGAGGCCAGACTGCTGGGTGAAGCTCAGGCTTGCCAGCCAGGGTTCGTCATCTTGGCCCCTCACCACCTGCATATGAGGGCTGAAATCCCCAGATGCCAGCTTAAGACTCCTGGAAACATCAAAATCCCCATTTCCTTGTGAGTAAGGAAACCAACCCCTACTAATTTCAGTCACTATAAACCAGATTCCACGGCCTGAGGCTCAAATCCTTCCCAATTTTAGAGACCACCATCCTGTCCCTATCCCCCAGGACCTGCAGGAGAGACCCCGATACCTGCTCACTTCTGGGCAGCAAAGAGCACAAAACCTGTTGGTCAAGGAGCCTGAAAAATGGACAGAGCAGAGTGGCCACCAAAGACACACTCCTCCCACTGGGGACCTGCACCTCCCAGCTGGGGCTGCTCACCTGAATCCTGGGTGGATGGAAGGATGTGGAGGCTGGTTCCCGGTGTCCTGGGTACCCCTCGCGAGACTGGGCTGGATGTGGGGGGCTGGAAGGTGCTAGGAAATGAGGCAGGTGAGGATCAGGTGAGCCAGGGCAGGTGAGCTGGTGTTGGTGCTGCAGCTTTGGCCTTCCTCTGCCAGCAGTCACATGGCAGCCAGGGAGCCAGCCAGTCCTTTCCTCCTGCCTCCTGGGGACCCATCTCTGAAGCCTGCAGTCACTCCTGAGTCCCAAATGAGGACATTCACATTCCCTCTAGGAAACCCCCAGCCCCAGCACAACCCGTCCTGGGATCCCCATCCTAGCTAGGGATGTCCACGTACCATCCAGGAGCCCCCAGGACCTAATGTGGCTCCCACTCTCACCCATCTCCTGCCCATCAGCATCAGGCTCCTCCTTCACACTGCAGCTGAGCTGGGCAGACCCTTCCATCTGGGTGTCCTGTGGCTCCTCCCCAGAGGTTGCCCTGAGAAGCTCCACTGTCCCTGAAGGGTGGGGTCTCCCCAAGGACTCCTCTATCTTCTGTGCCTCCGGGAGCACCACTTGCTTCAGGACATGGGCTGTGATCTGAGGGGGAGAGGCAAGTCATAGGGGCTCTAATCTTGCTCTGTCCCTCGAATAAGTCAATGCTGGCCACACTCACCCAGCCCAGTAGCTGCCCAGGGTTGTGCTGTAGGCCCTCGACCAGGGCTACTGCCTCCTCAGAGCTGCCTGGCCGCTGGCCCCGCACCCAGGCCTGAATCTCAGGGGGCAGCGTGCCCAGAAACTGCTCCAGCACCAGCAGCTCCAGCATCTGCTCCTTGGAGCATGCCTCCGGCCGCAGCCACTGGCGACACAGTTCTCGCAGCCGGGCCAGGGCCTCACGGGGACCTGCCACCTCCTGGTAGCAGAATCCCCGGAAACGTAGGCGTGCTGCCTCGGGCTCCTCCAGAGTGGCCACGGAGTCCACAGAGGGCAGGCGTGGGGGGCCCAGTGGGGATGGCATTGTTGTACTGGGTGTCTTCTTGTAGCCAACAACGGGAACCTGCAGGAAAGGAGGGGTCAGGGCGCGGCCGAGAGGCCATGGCCACGGTAAGGCAGACAGGCCCAGGCCAGGGGGCTGAGGCTGGTTCAGAGAGGACTCTGGCCACAGGGATGCATCAGGCTGGGAAAACTTCGTGGAGGGAGGAGTCACAGGACCTGGCTGCTAACAGGAACTGAAAGCAGAAGAAAGCCTTGTAGATGAATGCTTGGAGGCAAGTTGTCCACTGGAGTTTCCAGGAAACTGCAGGTGACGATGGTTAAGGGGTAAAAGAAGTCATCACAGGGTTCCAGGGGCTGGCTCTGGAGCCAGGGAAAGTGCCCACCAGAGAAGGGAGGGGGGTGGTCAGTCAGGCGGGATGCCGAGGGACACACACTCCAGGACATCAGGACATGTTGCCTGAAGTGGGACCCTGAGGGGCTGGCTCTAAGTATGAGGCACGTCTACGTCACAGATCAAGGCAAGGGGTGGACTCTGAGACACCGTGCTCGCTAACCACAGCGAAGTATGAATGACTCAACGCCGCCCGCACCAAGCACGTGAAAGGCAAAACAAAACAAACCACGAGGTGCAGTTGCCTGGAGTTGTAGGCGAACACGGTGTCCTGGCGTTCAAGAGGTTCTGGGTTGAAATATGCCCACCTGAGGGGCCTGTCAGACCAGCTACACCAGGCCTGACTCCCGGGGATCTATCTTCCAAAAGGGAGAGGAGCGAAGAGGTCCTGCCAGAGGACGGGGAGCCTGTTGGCGGTGGAAGGCACGGAGCCAAAGCTCGGAGGTGGGGCGCGCCGGGCACGTCGGGAGAGAGTGCAGAGGGGACAGAGCGGCCGGATCCCCAGGTATGGAAAAAGCCGCGCCCAGCCCAGCCAGGCCCGCGCTCACCTCAACCTTGGTGTCCTGGCCGGGAGGCCACTTCCGGTAAGGGGCCCCGCCCCTCCCATCCGCGCGTTGCCATGGCGACTCCCCTGGCCAATCACGCGCCTGCTCGGCAAGCACCGCCCCCCCCCTTCGGACTACGTTTCCCGAGAAACCCAGCAAGCAAGGACGGGCGCGGCCTCCGTCAGCGGATGCTCATTTCCAAAGTCCTCTCAGGACTGAGGAGAGCTGTTCCTCTTAAAGGAATCTAAAGAGTCGCAGAGTTTGGGAGCTCCCTCCCCTCACTGGCGACCGCTCTTCCTTTGCGTCCGAGCCCTAGACTCACCAACAGCCGTGATGGAGGGTACGTTAGAATCCTGCGCATGTGCACCGCGGACCCGGCTTCTATTGGCAAGTGAGGTGAGGGGGGGAGGAGCGTGACCTTATGGCCATTCAGAGATAGCACCCCACCTCGGCCCCTCCCCAGTCCCCTCTTGAGGCTTCGTTCTTATCGCGGAGCAGTCCTCTTGGTAACCGCTAGAGGACACCCGCCCGCCTCCATCTGTTTCCAAGGCAACGGCCAGAGCGTCGCCCTGTCCTTCTGGGAGGCCGGAAGTGATGGCCTGGGTAGTATAGTTCGGCCGAGATCTGCAGGCGATCCCTGAAGGAAGCAGAGTCCGGCCCATTAAGCTGGCCTGATCTGTCGTCCTTCTCTGCCAAACCCAAGCATGACTGCAGTGAGTCCCCTGCTGGGGTCCTCCATTCAACCTCTGCTGGGGACATGCGGGAACTAGGACCAGGGTGGGCACTCATTTACACATCAAGAAACTGTCCCATGATTTATACCCTCAGAGTCTTAGACGTGCTTCACATGCCAGTACTGCAAAGTGAGGAATGGTTTGTATCTAGTTATGGGATGCTGCTAACCTTTTACTTTGGGTACCAAAGCTAGTAAAGTGATCTTTAGTTTAAATCTCAATAGGCAAAGTTAGTTTGTTAAAATCACTGTGGAAAGGGGTGTTTTGCTTCTTGTGATACCTACTAATCCCTAGCTGCCAGCACTCAATAAACAGCGTTGGTCTTGCACACCTTTTGAAGCTCTGACCATGTGCAAGGCTGGGGCTTGTCAACTCTTCTAAGTAATGTCTTCAGACTGGGCTGTTTTGTGGGGACTTAGGTCGTTTCGCTGGAACTGTGTGGATTCCCCAGAAATGGCTCTGTCACCATTCACTGTATGGGGGAGAACTGGTGCTATAACAGCTTCTGTAGCTCTCTTCGTAGTCCTCTGTTTTAGGTCTTGTCTCCCAGGGGGCTGCTGGTTCTCAAGCCTTCTGGAGTTCTCCAGTATAGGCCTTAGGGGACCTCTGTCCATTTCCCCCAGTGCCAAATCAGTAGCTTTCTCTAAATCAGAGATAGGTCCCACATCTGCTTCTAGTTTCAGAATACCATTGCTGTTGACCTCTTTCATCATCCTTATACTCGTGCGTTTATGTTTTTAAAACAGTCTCATCTCTGCACCTTCAGAGGGCTTCTGAACCGAGTAAAATGTGTGTGTTCAGTCCACTATCTTGACCCAGAGAGCTCAAGGACACTTTTACACTCAAGTCTATTCAGGATAAAGTGCAGAAGGACCAGCCTGACAGGCTAAGGTCCAACATGACTACAGAGATTTGGAGGTCGTCAATGTAAAGGCAAAGGCATGTGGGAAAGCAGGGAATCATGGTTACTGTTCCTACAGGACCAGGGTGGGGGACACTGACCACTCCTGGGTACTGGGAGGGGTGGATTTGACGAGGGTGGAGGAAGTGAGGGATAGCAGGGGTCAAACACATAGGTGAAAAGCATGGTGAAATGGGGAAGAGACTGGTGGGGAAATGGGATAGGCCATCAGGACTAACTCAAGGGCTTAGGAGAACTCCAGGAGCTTCAGTCCAAGATGTAGAAAAGGTTGGATATGACTGGCTGAGTACCCACTAGATATTTGACAGATGCCTTTGCTCCTGAATCCCATGGGCTCCTGAGAAGAGCTGTCAGTGGGGGTTGTCTGCACTGCACAGCTGAACAAACTGAGGCTGTGACCTACCCTCATATAAGCCACTCTAGGGGAAAGTAAGATGGGGGTGACCCAAAAGAGTGTACCAGAGCAGAGGAGAAAGGATGAGTCCTGGAGGGGTGAACAGTGGCTCAGAGGCCTGTAGGATACCAGGAGGCCTGGCACAGAGGACCTCAATCCAAGGATCTCTGGGAGTGGGTCAAGCAGGACTTCTCTCCTTGCAAGAACTTAAGAGATTCCAAAAGCCAATGACAAGTCTGGCACCGATAGCAGGAAGTGAGAATGGGAGGGTGAAAGGTCTGTGTTCACAATATATGGCAGATGGCTGCCAAATCTTGGAGGTGGAAGTATTGGAGACCTACCGGCTAGAGTCAATCTTTCTGGACACTACTGGTGACCCCTGCCTCAGATTCCCCAATGGATTAACAAACACTCAGATCTAGACAGAGTTCCTGCTTGGGGCACCCTGCTATCTACCCTCCCAGGGTTTCCTGGCTGGTCCACACCCACTCTGGCTGCCAAAGGGGGCACAGGTATCCAGCCCCTCAGTGGGCCCCAGACATGCTATATATGTACCCTTGGCCTCTCAAATATGAGGAACAAAACCGACATTGCAGCACAATGACAACACACACTGAAGGCATGCCTACAATGCCCTAGGATGAAAACAGGCATCAGACTGTTACAACTCATATTTTTCACAAAGAAATTTTTATCAAGAAGCCTCTCTGGACTGTGTTGTTAAAGCTGTCTGAACCATGCCCTCGAGGCTGGGAGGAGAGACGGAGGCTGTGGACTTCCACAGTGCTGTGCAGGGATTTACACATTGTACGTCCATTCCAACTTACAATTTTTGGTCTTTTTTGTTCCCATGAAAAGAGACCACTAACAGCCCTAGGGGGGAGGCCTGAGGTCAAGACAGGGCTCGCTCTGCTGAGGGCCACAGGGAGAAACCTGGGCCCCAGCCCACCACGTGTCCCGGCCATGTGGACGTGTCCCACGATGGGAGGGCATCACACACAC